TGTTAGGAGTGCGCGGGGAACCCAGATGTTATGAGACCCAGAACGAGGCAGACACAGGGGAAATACAAAAGAACAGTGTTTATTATGTACAGTGAATTAATAGCGTCCACAAGCTGCTTCACAGAGGCTCCTGGAAAAAGGGACGACAGATTAATAGTTGTCCAATGGGGGAAGGCCAGAGTGGTTTGTTTAATGAGCGTTTTGTCCTTACAGTCCAAACCTGGTCCTTCAGTCCAAGGAGAGCGAGCAGCAGAGGGAAATCCAACAAGGGTCCAAAGGGGAACGAGGAAGGCTGGCAACTGGAGGCAAAGAGGCACGAGGAATACCTGACAGGCCAAGGGATCCAGATCAGGTCACGAGGGAATCCAAAAAGCACGAGGAACCAGGAAACTGGAAAAAAGAGCAAAAGGTGAACAAATTCTTTTCACCAAGACATTTGCCTCACAACAGTACTATACCATAAGAGGTGATATGCTCCAGCGTCGAGTCACACCGGACTGCAGCCTTAAGTAGATGGAGAGGCTCATCAGGCTGATGGCCGCCAGGTGTTGGTAATCAGCGGCCATCAGCAAGGCAGGCTGCAGGCAGTGGGACCCTTACAGTACCCCCCCTCAAGAATCGCCACCTGGCGACCTGAGGCGCTTCTCGGGGTGGTCTCTGTAGAACCTGGAAATGAGACTAGGATCAAGGATAAAGGACCTGGGGATCCATGACCTCTCCTCAGGACCGTACCCCTCCCAATCGACCAGGTATTGGAAGCCCCTACTCCTGCGTCTCACGTCCAAGATGGAACGGACGGAGAATGCAGGGTGGTTGTCGATCAGGCGAGGCGGCGGAGGGAGGTCAGATGGAGGACACAGGGGACCGAGGGAGACAGGCTTCACCTGCGAGACGTGGAACGTAGGATGGATGCGCATGGCCCTGGGGAGCTGGAGGCGGACCACAGAGGGGTTGATAATACGGGTGATGGGGAAGGGACCAATGAAGCGGGGGGCCAGTTTGCGAGGGGTGTCCTGCAGCTTAATGTCTTTGGTGGACAGCCAAACTTGCTGGCCGACCTGGTAGGCGGGCGTCTCCGAACGGTGGCGGTCAGCAAACCGTTTTGCCTGGGCTGCGGTCCTAAGGAGGGTCGCTTTGGCCTGGCGCCAGATGCGATGGCAACGCCTAAAGTGATGCTGGATGGATGGGACCGAACAGTCTGTCTCGGAGTCAGGGAACAAGGGGGATGGTAACCCAGGGAGGCCTCAAAGGGGGACATGCCGGTGGCAGAGGAGCGGAGGGAGTTATGAGCATACTCCACCCAAACCAAGTGCTGGCTCCAGGACGAAGGATTAGACTCGACCAGGCAACGCGGTGTGGACTCCAGCTCCTGATTGCAGCGCTTGGCTTGTCCGTTAGCCTGAGGATGGTAACCAGAGGTGAGGCTAACGGACGCCCCGAGTGACTTGCAAAAGGAGTGCCAGACCTGGGAGAGGAACTGCCGGCCTCGGTCAGAGACAATGTCCGATGGGATCCCATGGAGCCTAAACACATGGAGGGTGAGTAAGTGGCCAGTCTCAAGGGCAGAGGGGAGCTTAGGGAGGGGAACAAAATGAGCGTCCTTAGAGAAGCGGTCGACCACCGTGAGGATGGTGGTGTTGCCGTCAGATGGAGGAAGACCGGTAACAAAATCAAGGGCGATGTGGGACCAAGGGCAACTAGGGGTCGGGAGGGGGAGCAGAGGGCCAGCCGGGGGTTGAGTACCGGACTTGTTTCTGGCACAGACAGGGCAGGCAGAAACAAAGTCCTTGATATCAGAGTTCATAGACGGCCACCAGAAATGGGTCTTGGCGAGGGAGAGCATGCGGTTGACTCCAGGGTGACAAAAAAGTTTATTGGAGTGAAGCCATTGGAGCACCTGGGACCACACGCTGGAGGGGACGAAGAGGGTGCCAGGGGGACCACCTCCTGGATCAGGTTCGGAGAGGAGGGCCTGTTGAACGGTGGCGGTGATGGGCCAAGAAAGAGAACCAACAGTGCAGGAAGATGGAATAATTGAGTCAGAAGCCTCGGGCGAGTCAGGTGGGGCAAACTGCCTGGACAGGGCATCAGGCTTAATGTTCTTGGAGCCCGGGCGAAAGGTCAAAACAAAGTTGAAACGGTTAAAGAAAAGCGACCAACGGGCCTGACGCTTGGCGTTCCGGAGATAAATTAAGTTTTTGTGATCTGTCCAGATCAAAAAAGGTGTCCCAGTGCCTTCCAGCCAGTGCCACCATTCCTCGAGTGCGAGTTTGACCGCCAAAAGCTCGCGGTTGCCCACGTCGTAATTTCGTTCTGCCTGAGAGAGACGACGAGAGAAGAAGGCACAGGGATGGACCTTGTTATCCAGAGGAGATCGCTGGGAGAGGACCGCCCCAACCCCAGTGTCAGAGGCGTCCACCTCCAAGATGAACTGGCGCCGAGGAAAAGAGGGATTTAAGTTTTGAGAAGGCGGCTTCAGCCTCCGGGGTCCAGTGAAAGGCTCGGGCGGTTGAAGTGAGCTGAGACAGGGGGGCGGCGACACGACTGTAATTCTTAATAAAACGCCTATAGAAATTTGCAAAACCCAGGAAGCGTTGTAACTGCTTCCTGGACTCGGGGGTCGGCCAGTCGACTACCGCCCTGGTCTTCTCAGGGTCGGTTCGGCAACGACCTCCCTCAAAAATAAAACCTAAGAATGAGACAGTGGAGGTGTTAAACTCACACTTCTCGGCTTTAACAAATAATTGGTTCTCCAGCAGCCGCTGAAGAACCGTGCAAACGTGGGCCGTGTGTTGAGCGGGGTCGCGGGAATAAATAAGGATATCTAAATAAACAAACACAAAATTACCAATGAAGTCGCGCAGGACGTCATTAACGAGCGCCTGAAAAACAGCGGGGGCATTGGTTAACCCAAAAGGCATAACTAAGTACTCGAAGTGGCCCAGAGGAGTGCGAAAGGCGGTCTTCCCCTCGTCGCCCTCTTTAATACGGACGAGGTGGTACGCGTTTCGAAGATCAAGTTTAGAAAAACAGGAAGCAGACTGTAACTGCTCCTGAAGAGAATCAATAAGAGGAAGAGGATATTTATTTTTAATGGTTATGTTATTCAAACTGCGATAATCTATACATGGCCGGAGTGATTTATACTTTTTAGAAACAAAGAAAAAACCCGCTCCCACAGGGGAGGTCGAGGGTCTAATAATGCCTGAGGCAAGAGATTCATTAACATAGTCAGACATAGACTCTCTCTCAGGACCAGAAAGGTTGTAGAGTCTACTTGACGGCAAGGGGGCGCCAGGTAATAAGTCAATCGCGCAGTCATAGGGACGGTGAGGAGGAAGTGACAAGGCGCGTTGTTTACTAAAGACGGCCGCCAGGTCGCGGTATTCTGCAGGAACCGAGGTAAGATCGATTTCCTCTAGAGGAGGCGTGTCTCGAGGGAACTCTTTAACAGCGGAGCGCAGACAATTGCTGAGACACTTGTCGCTCCATTTATCAATACAGCCACGCTCCCAGTTAATAACTGGGTTATGGTTACGAAGCCAGGGGAAACCTAGAATTACTTGAGATGTACGAGAATTGAAAATAAAGAAATCAGTCATTTCGTGGTGATTTCCAGAGATTATGACGTGTAGCTCGGTGGTTTTTAAATTAATACGGGTCAACCTGTCTCCGGTTAAGCCGGCGACAGAAATTGACGGAATCTCGTGAGTAGGTAGAGAATACTCTTTAACTAAATCGGAGCTAATCAAATTTTGTTCAGCACCTGAATCGATGAGAGCAGAGAAAGAATAACGACGGTTTTGTGTCCGAATGACCATGGGAAGTAATAGTTTAAATGGGGAGGTTAACGCAGACGTTCCCACCAGTAACTCCCGCTTTACTGGTGGAAGTTCTCGTTTCCCCGAAACGGACAGTGGGGCAGAAAATGACCGGGATTACCACAATAAATGCAGAGACGGGCATATACACGCCGCTGTCTCTCTGCAGGAGTCAGCCGTGCGCGCCCCACCTGCATGGGCTCGGGGGAGCGATCCCGTGAGGGAAAAGAAGATGATTGGCTGTG